CATCCGGGCACCATCCAGGCACCCGCAGCTCCCAGCCGCTGTCCCTTCCAGTCTTTCTTACACATTGCAGTGAAATCCAGTTTTCCTACAGCAAACTTTCTAACATCTCACAGTGTCCCTCAAACAACTACACCAATTCTTTGTCACCTACATGGAAACAAAGGTCTAATATTATGCAGTGGTTTCATGAAAAAAAAAATCACATGCTTTTAGGTAAGTAAACCACAGCATGAAATTCTTAGGGATCTGTAGGATGGGGTCTTCTAGACATAAGGAGTGTTAAATTCCTTAAGGAATTCCCCGAGGGCTCCCTGGAAGAAATTAGGTAGTTTTCTATGCAAGGAGTCTTAATTCATTCCTACAATCTCTCAGAATTGTCGAGATATGAGTCAGAATCTAGAACTGAGGAGAAAAGAGGGCCCTCCACTCGTGCCTAATCCACCTTCTCAAAACGTCATTTGTGTGGTGAGCTACACAGACAGAAATAAAAAAGGAATTTAAACTCCCAGGGCTATAGCAGATTCCCACAGAATCCCACACCAAACCTCTTGGGCTCCAGGTAACTCTGCCTCCTCCTGTGCCTACCTCCTTTGAAATTTTGTTCTAGAAGAAAAGCCAGGCTAGGACACTCAAGACTTGCAGATCAGAGCAGAGTGCCCACATCCTCAAATGACTTGGCGGGGAGGGACTCTCCCTCCTCCTCCCACAACCTCCGGACTCTGCTGTGTTTGTGGAACAGATGCCTGGTTCAAGCCGCTCCGCTTCTCCTTGGCTGTCTTCTGTCATGGTATACAGTCTCATACACTTGGCGTACACAAGTAGCTAGCTATTCTAAGAACTGTGGGTGCCATCATCTCACAATTCGAAAAACCCCAAAGAAGACACAGGTGGTGGGTTTTTCCTGGGAAGTTCAAAGATGGAAACATCTGAATCTGCCTGCCCTGAGGCCAGACCAAAAGTGGCAGGGAGGGGAGGGGGGGGGAGTTAACTGCCTTCCCAATAGAAAACACAGGTGACAACCAGCCCGAACGAACAAGGATTGTTTTTTCCTTTTTATTAGTGTGTGGAGGGGTGGTGTGTGTGTGTGTGTGTGTGTGTGTGTGTGTGTGTGTGTGTGTGTGTGTGTGTGTGTGTGCTGGCATACACATGCCTCCGCACATATGTGGAAATCAAAGGGCAACTTTTGGGAGTCAGTTTCTCCTTCCACTGGGGGTTCTGGGGATCAAACTGAGGTCATCAAATGTGTGTGGCAAATGCTTTTATCCACTGAGCCCAAGCATGCTTCTCCTCAGAGTTTCTTCTTGGCTCATTCCCTGCCATCTCTCTGGAAGGAAGGAACCAGGAACCCTGTGCCCCATAAAGCAGGAACTTAGAGTGGGTTCAGGCTTGGGTAGCAATTCAGTGAACATTGCCAGCAAGGGAATGCTTAACATTATTCCCCACAGCTCACGACTGGGGCTAAAATATTCAATATGATATGAAAAAGTGTACGGCATTGAGAGCTGAAAGGATGAAAATAAGATTTCTTGCCAGCAGTCCACATTCTGCTCAGAGAGCAATGGAGTTTATGGCTGATTCTTAAAGAAAGATCAAATCAACGCTAACCGACTGAAATCTTAGAAAACACTAGCTCAAAGTACGCTGTGCATATATAGTGTTAGGCCCCAAGTATAATATTTCCCCAGAAAGTTTATTTTTATGACATCTCAAACCTCATTCAGAACTACCTGCCCTCAGCAAGTCAGACACCAGGAATGAACAGTTCTGGGAGTCAAGTCATCCCCCACCCAGAGCAAGGACAGTACAAATGCTGAGTCCCCAAGATGGCATCCAGATGTCCTCTCGCAGCCAGCGGTCAGGGCTCCGCTTGCTCCCTCTGGCAGCAGTGCTCTGCAGCCTTCCCCACCACTCTCCACCCACCCTCTGCTCCAAGGAGACTGCTATTTCCTCTCTCCTCTCCGCCTCACGTGCCCAGCAAGGACTCTCTGGATCCTTGTGGCCCAAGTCAGCTCCAACAATAACAACTGACCATACTCTCCCTTCGACATGCTGAATTCCTTCCTAGCTCCAAGGTTTGGCTCAAGTTCCAGGCCTTTCAAGTGCAGGGCATTTATTCTACAATATTCCAGAAAAGGCTGCCATCGTCACCCTCTTTCCATTCCCGCCACTCTCTTGAGTGTATATAGCTCTCTCCTTCATCTCCCTTTTGCCCGTGAATAGCTTAGCTGGGATTGTCTCTTATTTACGTACGTAGTTCAGTGTCTTTCCTTCCGACCACTTCCACAATTCCTCAAACATCACAGACACTCAATAAACATTGTTCCCCTTTTACTAAGTAAGAACAGCATCCAAAGTTCTTGAATCTCAACAACAAGAGAGCTTATTGACCCCCAGACCACCAGTTATTTGCTTCTGTTGCTGACATCCATCGTGAAGCTGACGCTCTTTGGAGCATTGCTGGAGTTCTGTGTATCCAGAAATGTCTAAATCAACCTGGGAGTGTTTTGCCTCCATTTCCCCCTGACAGATTTGCTTCCCTCCATTTCTAGTGGGTCCCCTCGCTCTCTGGGGGCCCACTTATGAGAGCTGTGGATCCTCTAATTAGTTGCTTCTCCCGATCCCAGCTTTGTCGGAGATGACCCTGACACAGAGCTTCACCTGCATCATCACAGTGTTCCATGTATCTCAGCCACAACTCACTGAGTAGCCGGCAGATGGCTCCCAGGTTCGTTTCTATTCAACCTGCAGCCATTCCCACTTCCAACACCCCACACAGTGCTGTCTTCGTGCCCTAGGGCAGCACATGTGCTCCAAGATACATGGGACCACTGTCTCCCGTCACAGATGAATCGGAAACAGACCATACCTAGGTCTCGGTGACGGGAAAGAGCTTCTAAGTCATGAAGGAAAAAAATCAAGCCGCAGTTGAAAATCAAGGAGAAATTCTTGTTGGTAGAGCTCTCAACCAGAGACGACACAACTGTGTCAGTCTGCTTAGAGCTTAGCAAGGACCAGTTTCCTGTTTCCTTATTACTAAGATGACCACATATTCAGCATCCATACTGAAACGTGCAGGAAAAAGAACTGTCAACAGGCCATGCCGGACCCACGGCTTTTTGACAGTCTTGCATAGTAGGTTCTGACAGAGGAAGTTAGCTGTAGCCCTGAGCTCTGCTTGCTTGTGTGGTTAAAGCACAGGTTTCACAGCCCAGAGCCTGGTCCCTAGTGGACATTAGCGCTCCCAAGGAGACACTATCAATTGCTACAGGACCTGTGTGTTTGAGATGTATGTATAATGAAGGTATAATTGACCAACTTGTCTTACCTCTCCCCTCTCTCTCTCTTTCTCTCTCTCTCTCTCTCTCTCTCTCTCTCTCTCTCTCTCTCTCTCTCTCTCTCTCTCCTCTCTTTCTCTGTCTGCTCACTCTCTCCCTATGTCTTCCACCTTCTACTCTGTCCTTTCTCCTGACTCTAATTTTCCCACTGTCTCTCTCCACTATCCGCCCCACCCAATAGCTCTCCTGTTATTTCTGGCAGCTCAAAAGAACTTGGATTGGTGACAGAAAGGGCCTGTACCTGAAGGAACCAACATACTTTAGAGAGCTCCCAGGTACCACACTGTGAAAGTGATGGGGACTGGGCAGAGGGGGCGACAAACCAAGCCTCATGTCACAGGGCTATATTTAGCATATGACTTCCATATTGAAATAGTGGCTTCTGGAAATAGTTATTTCAGATGGGTGGTAGAGGAAGGACGACCACAATGATAGCCTCTGAAAGGTAGAGAAGAATGAGTCATAGATAAATAATGCTTGAAAATCTAATGGAACAGAGAAAACCTGCAGTAACTTCTGATTAGTGGCTAAGCACAGCTATGAATTATTCATTCTGAACCATTACTGTGGAGGCTCTGGTTAAGAGTTTGTCGAAGGAAGGAAGAAAAGAAAGGAGAGCAGGAGGGAGACTGATAAGGCAATCTGTGGAAAGAATTCATTACACTGTAACCTATCACCACAAGGAGGGTAAGGAATAGTGAGGAGTTTCCCTGTTCAGAAACAGAAAATTGTAATAGTCAAGAATCCCTGTGACAGAAAAAAAATCTCCTGAGAGGAAAAAAACACGGAATTTTCCCTGTACCCAAGAATCATTTGCCTCACAGTCCCACATGATATGCTCAGTCATTCACATACTCAACAATATTGCAGAAATGGTATTGTATACAGGCAAGTCTAAGGCAAGTCAGGGATCCTCACTGGACAGCCTCCAGGTGCCGGGTGGGATCCAGGCATGAAGGAGATGGTGTGTCTTGGATCAGTGAGCTCCAGGATAGGAAGGGCTCAGAACCAGGACTGTCAAGGCAGTGAGGCTGCACGGTGTAGCCTCCACGGGCCTGGCCCTGTGCAAGGTCCTAAAAATACAGCTGCAGCCATGAAAGAGACGTGATTCTGATATCAGTGAATTCTATGATAGAAAGATCTCAGAATCGTGAAGCTGCCACAGTGCTGGGTTCACTGGTGAGATCTGACCTGCCCAAAGAGGGAGGTTGGAAGACTCACAGAGACCAGAAGTTACCTCTAGCAGACCTCCATGGCATAGGGAGAGCTCCTGGTAAAGTCTCTACAGTGTAGCATGCTTCTCTTTTTGCCTCGAGTCCTGGCTCAGTGTACAAATCTTCCCTCTCTCTGAGGTAGGAATTGCAGTTATGTATTCCTCTGAATATTCTATACTACAGAATATAGGCTCTGGATCCCAGTTTTGGCGGTTCTAAGTATTGTTTTCCTGTAAGTCATTCAAATTACTGTTGAAAGAAAGCAACTTATGAAAAATGATGGGATTGTAATATTAGAAAACACACCCAGGAATCCAACATTCCCATGAGTACCGGGATGGGCGATTCCAGCATTTAACCAAGAGAGATGGCGTCTCAGTGTGAGTCACACCCTGACCACCGCGACTTCCAATATCATGTGGCAACAGAGCTACAGTGACTGACTACTTACGTCAATGGGTGCAGAACATTCTCTGTAGGACAGAATCCTCCCAAACAGAAGGCCTCTGCTCCTCTTCAATTATTTCAGCTTTAAAAGAATTCAAGCAACAAGCCTCAGAATTTTCTAGAGCATCGAATGTCAGGCCACTTGTAGATTTCCCTTCATGGAAAGGGGGGAAGGAAAAGCAATATTTTATTACAAAGTTTTGTTTCGTTCACATTTTGTCCCTTCTTAGCACCCCCATTCACAGTACACAACAAAGCTTCCAAGCATCTGAGGCTCTCTGATGGGACTGGACACAACCCAGAGAACCTCAAGGGAGTTTCATTTCTATCTCCTGATATTGACTGATTTATAAATTAAAACAGAGCATTTTAAATGTATTATATATTCCTTGCTGACAATTGTGTTAACATAAATATTAATTGCTGTGAAAAATAAATTTTTCCCAGAAAATTTTGTGAGAAGAACAACATCATTTTATTTTTTTGAGATCTCAAACATCTGGCTTCACCAAAAACAGCTGGATTATCATATCTGCTTCTAGATTCAATTTGTTGCAGTATCACATGTCAGTTAACCTCTGGAAAGCTCCTCCATGTACTCACAAGAGAATGAAAGGAAGAGAAATCAAAAGACATCTTGGCACTATCATGAAAATAACTATCACGTGGATCTTCCAACTGAGCCTCAAGGACTTGAGGGGATCCCATAGAGCATCCCATGTGAGAAAAAAAAAAGTCACATGTACCTCAGACTATCACCCTCTACCTTAGATGCAACTGGTTATCTGTTCTGATAATTAGTTGTCTAGGAATACTCCACATGTATGTGGAAATCATATATATACATATATATGTTTGCTATGAATGTATAGACTTAAGTTTATAAGGTCAAATGACTGCAAACTATTCATTTCACTTGGTTCCTCTGTTTTACAAGTTGGGACAAGTTCTAAATCAGCCACCTTTGTAGTTGCCTTTCTTTCCACTGATCCCTTGTGTCCCACTGAATGAGTATGTGTGCATGTATGCATGTGTGTGTGTGTGTGTGTGTGTGTGTGTGTGTGTGTGTGTGTGTGTGTGTGTGTATGAACCCTATCTGGTGCCTATGGTTTGGGTGGGTTACAAAATGACTACATAAGTGTCATTTCCTGATAGGCACAGCGTGGCCACACCAAGTAAGAACGAAAGCCATGAGGCTAAAGACAGTTTTCCTGCATCTACTGGTTTCCTAACAAAGCACACAGCGGAAATCGTCCAACTCGGAGGAACAGCTGAACTTTGCCTTAGATCCCTGCCACTCCACAAGCAGGACTTATTACTAGGGAAGAATGTCTTAGAATCCGGGGCTAAATGAACAGGGCTGTTTAGAGACAGCAGCCTCTCTTGAGACATACTCTCCCATCAGCATTATGTTGACATGAGGGGAGAGCAAGGTACTACTTCTGAAAGCTCTTTCCCTATAGTACTGAGATGGCAAATGGGTAATCCTGTTGGTTCACAACTTCCCTGAAATAGAAGCCAAGGAAGAACCCAACTCCTACAGTTAACTGGTTATTCATTGACTCCCTCAGATGTTAAACTCTGCTCACATCCACAGAGGCAGATATGGAGATACAGGACCATTCTGTCTTAGTTAGTTCTATTGCTGCAATAAAACACCATGACCAAAAAGCAAGTTGGGGGGAAAGGGTTTGCTTGGCTTACACTTCCAGATCATAGTCCATCATTGGAGGAAGTCAGAATAGAACTCAAACAGGGCAGGACCTGGAGGCAGGAGCTGATTCAGAGGCCATGGAGGGTGCTGCTTACTGGCTTGCTTCCTATGACTTGCTCAGTCTGCATTCTTATAGAACCCAGGACTATGAGCCCAGGGATGGCACCCTCCACTCAACAGCTGGACCCTCCCCCATTGACTACTAATTGAGAAGATGCCTTACAGCTGGATCTCCTGGAGGCATTTTCTTAACTGAGGCCCCTTCCTCTCTGATGACTCTAGCTTGTGTCAAGTTGACACAAAAACCAGGCAGTACAAGCTCCACGAAGTAGTCCTGTGACCTCTACACATGTAGCATGCCAAAAAGGCATGGCACATGAGCATCCCTACACACACACACACACACACACACACACACACACACACACACAAATAATAATAATAATAATAATAATAATAACAATAAAAAATTATATAATTTTATATAATTGATAGTTAAACTATTATAAAACTAGCAACGGGGGTTAGGGGGAAGAAGTCTGAGCTCCTTGCCTGCATGAGATTAGAAACACATCCGACACATCCATATTTGTTTATTTTTTCTTTTGAAGCTGGCAAAACCAACAGAAGGCTTTGTTCATAAAGAAAGACTGAACATAAAGAATTCTGTTTCCTAAGGAGAGAAAAAGATAGATATTGCCTGTAGAGAGGCAGAAAATTGAGCCCAGCATTCAAGGGAGTACGGTGCTATCCATGCATGGATTAACCAGCCACCTGAGGCAGGAGCAGACATTTGAAGTGGGTGAGAAGACCTACGAAGGAAACAACTGAAGGCAGTCTTGCCCTGGGTAAGCAGGGGGAGAATACCCATGTGTCCTCTGACCCATCGCAATGTCCTTATTTTTGCAGATGACCCGAAACCCAGAAGGGTAATTTATCCAACATGTCGGAACAGCTAAGAGAGTGAGTGACTGGGAATCGGAATGGCCTTAGCATCTAGGATACTGTGAGGGAGACCTGAGAACGAGCTGCAGACTCCCTTTGTCTGTGCCGTAACAGTCAGCAGTGTGGGGCCTGATCATGTCATCAGTTCAGGGGCTCAAACCACATCTTGTTCGTCATCTTGTCACTGTCCCCACTACCTCTCCTTCCTGTCTCCACCACCAGTTATTACAGAGCAGAAAAATCACAGATCACTTCCCTCTTCTCCACATACATATGATCTGAGACTTCTGGGCTTGGAAGGACCTTAATAATTCATCTAATGTTAGAGGAAAAATACTTATGGAAACTGGGATTGAGAGGCTGAGAGTGACTTGCCCCAGACTGTCAGTTAGGAGATTCCAGACCCAAATCCCAGCCTCTGGTTTCTTTCCTTTACACTACAAACTCCTAGTGTATGAGGCTGGCTTAGTTAGGGTTTCTATTGCTGTGAATAGACATCATGACAACAGCAACTTTTATAAAGGAAAACATTGAGTAGCTTACAGTTGTAGAGGTTTAGTGCATTATCATCATGGTGCAATACGGTGGTGTGTAGGCAGACATGATGCTGGAGATGGAGCTGAGAGTCCTACATCTTGACTTGCAAGCAACAGGAAGTGGTCTGTCTCACTGGGTACAGCTTGAGCAAAGGAGACCTCAAAGCCTGCCCCCCCCCACATCTTCCTACAAGGCCACACCTACTCCAACAAAGCCATACCTCCTAATAGTGCCAAACCTTTGGGGGACTATTTTCTTTTAAACCACCACAGAGGCTTATTTCTAAGACATACTCTCCAATGACTAATTTCTCCAGACATATGATATGCATTCCTCTCCCCTCAAGGTGTTCCTTCCCAAAAGAGCTCATGGTTCGTTGAGCTTGTGAAGTGCTACAATCTACCCTCTCTATGATAAGTAACCCTCTGTGGGGGAGGGGTATAGGTATACTGTAAGCGTTTCTGCGTGTGTGCATGTTCATGTATGTCCATATGCTTGGAAGTGCATGTAGAGGTCAGAGGTCAGTATCAGTTGCCTTCCTTAATCAGTCAGTCCCCACCCTATTTTTTGAGATAGAGTCATTGAATCTGGAACTCACTGATTTGGCTAGACTAGCTGACCCAGCAAGCTCTAAGGATCCTGTCTCTACCTCCCTGGTGCTGGGCTTATAGGCATCTGCCACCATGACTGGCTTTTGACGTGGGTGTTAAGTATCCAAACTCAGGTCCTCACGCTAGCACACCAGCACTTACCAGCTGAGCCATCCCCGCAGCCCCGTGGCAACACTCTTGTTCCCATAGGAAAAGAAAGAAACCTGTCTAATTCTCTACAGTCGTTTCTAAGGTCACTTGACCCCCGGACTCTCAGCCTTTACCCCACTGCTTTGTTATCTACTAACATGTCTCAAATTTCCAAAGGTTGTGCTTTGGAAAACACAATCTAAGTCTCATTGGTAAGAATTCCTTTTTATATCCCAAGGAAAACATCCCCCAAGGAGTGGTCCTCTTGGCGGGGACATAGTAGGAAGGCCATGAGACACAAAGGAAGAGAAACAATAGTCGCCATCTGTTCCAGAGCCATGTGTACTGTCAGCAGCAAAGGGTGAGGTGGCCACACACACTGCCATCTGGAACTCTGGTCCTAGGCTAAAGATGCTCCACTCCAACCGCAGGTTCTCATCTCCTCGACATCGGCTAACGTGATTTTCCTTCTACTTCTGTTCTCTGTTAGTACAGACACTGTTATGCCAGGCCCTTCCACATCTGCTGTAGCTTTTCGCCGTCCTGACCTAAAAACTCTGGACCTCTAAAAGAAGCTTTCTAATGAATGTCCCCACCTGACTCCTTCTCCCCTTCAATTCCCCTCAGAAGATGCTGTCCTATTAATCTAAGACAACATGGCATTTGCTTTCAGAGAAATGAAATGTTCAAAACTCTGCAACAAGCAAGGTCTTTCGATGACGTCCTGAGTCATAACTGTGCAAGACAGCACAATCCATGCTCCCCCAGCAAATTCCCCATCACCCTGGGCTCATCTTCCGATACCACCCTCATCACTCATGCAGTGGGGCTGTTGAGCTCTGCATTCTGCTCTGTTTCTGCCTCTCAGATTTCTTCTGGTTCTTACCCTCCACCTCCACCACAAGTACTGATGTGGAGCAAGCACCCCACCCACTCCTACTCTCACAGATACTGAGTCCTACTTGGCACATCTTGCTCTTTGACTGATGCTTGCATTTCCCGACTCATAGCAAGCTTGGGAAGGGAAAACATCAGGCATTGTTAAGTGTACTTAGAAAGTAACCAGAAATTTCTCTTGATGGATAAAAAAGTTCATATTCATTTCACGACTACGAGTTAAGCAGACAAGTTGAAGCCTACAAAACTTCAAGTCAAAAACTAGGAAAACTAACCTCTTTGGAGGACTCAGGGGCATTTAGAACAGATCTTTCTAGTTAA